CATAAAAGAAAAATCTACTATCAACATTGATCAATATTTTCAAGTAGCTTGTACTAGTGTTTACGCTCAAAACTTGTAATTTAACAAACTAGAACAATTAGCTTTTTGTGGGGTTGGAATTAAGCTATAATGAAATGGACTCAAAACGTAAATGGTTCAACCCTCAAAACTGGGTTACATCTATTGTGTTACTCATAATATATTGATTCAAAAGTTACAAATAGCACTCAATTAAAGACTAGTCTCTCTCACTTCAATCGTCCAACCCCATTACAAGAGGTTTCCACTCCTTTATATATGCCCTCAATGAACCCAAAAAGCCTTGGGCTCACTTAGCTTTACTTTTCTGGCATTTAATGCGCCACCTATATAGACTAGCGTGTTGATAACCTTTTTACCCAGATTTGATGGTGAAGTGACAGTTGCTCAGTTAGGATTGCACGGCTTTCCAGATCAATGTGTGTTGAGGAACCTATTCGGCCCTAACTAGTCAACGATGTCATTCTCAAGCGGTGGGCCGACTACCTTTATGTCTCGTCCTAAACTTCTGCTTCTGATTGGTGATTGACACTTGGCCTAATTGTTGTCTAAGTAAGCCTTTCTTTAAGCCTTGTGCCATAAAGTTGTCAGTCTTCTCACGTGAACTTGATAGTCAGAAAGTACTTTATGTTGTTCAGTCGGATCAAACTAGTGAGCGCTCAACCATAGCGCTCTGAAATGCCTCATTTGAATTCCATAGGGCCTTGGACTTCATGTTCCTCTTTGGGCTTTGATCTTTCTTGAGCTTTTCTCAATCTTTCTCTCGACCTGTGCTATTTTGAGTGTCGAAAAGGACCTTGTGTTAATAACTTGTTCATAATTTTCCATTTCACCTTGAAAGTCATAGACTTATTCTTAAGAGATTTATGTGATGTCATATGATTACTACACCCACTAGGTTTTTTTTTCACAACTTCTACAAAATGGCAAGCATAAAACATTGAGGCTTCCTCTTCTACATGTTTAGCATGGTCAACAAGTTGTTTCACCTTGTTATTGTAGTCTTTAGCTATATGACCAAACTTATCACACCTATTAGGCTTGCCCTTGAACCAACATGTGTCATAGTGAAACATCATAATATTTACAAGCTTCCTTTGAACTCTCCTTGTTCCCATTATACTTCACCAATGTACCAGTTCTATCACCAGCCTTAAATCCACCTTTCTTCTCCTTATTCTTCCAAAAAAAATTTCCCCTTAGAACTATTAACTTGTGAGCTATCTACTAATTAAAAGCCTTTTCAGTAAATTTCCTTCAACATGTCTCAATAATCTCTAATAGGGCCTTTTAGAGTAGCTACAATTTCAGTAGAATCAATTTCATCTAACTTCTTAGTTTCCGATCATTCACAAACACTATATTGCCATAAGATGGAGTAAGACCAAGTTTTCAACTATTTTCTTATTTGACAATTCTTCACCATACATTTTCATTTGATTAATTAGATAAAACAATCTAGTCAAATAAGCATACAACATTTCATCATTCTCATACGAGCATATTCAAAGTCTCGTCGAATACCTTGTAATTTCACAGCTCAGACATGTGAATCACCTCTATATTCTTGCTTATCCAAGCTGTCTTTGCCGTCTCTTGATTTGCAACCATCTTATCAGAGTCTGCTCTTTGAATAAATCCCAGAGCTCTAGCATCGCGAGCAATAATATCTTCGGCCACAATTTGTTTCTTCTCAGTCAGCTCTTCATCTGAATCTGAGGGAAGCTCAAAAACTTCTTCAATAAATTTTCACAGATTGTGAGACTTGAATATTATCTTCATCTTGATGCACCAGAAGTCATAGTTGACTCTAGTGAACAATGAGCCCGTAGCTCAGCTCCAAATTTAGACATTGCACCGATTGATTCGACTGTGTTCTTTGTTGTAACTCAATAAAATAAAACTGATACGTTTAATGAAAATGTGTCCTGCTCGTTTAATAATCATTGCAATTTACAGATTAGTGTTTAGTTTTAGATTAACTATTTTTAGCTTTCAAATAAATAAATAAATATTGAAAACTTTTACAAAGTTAATTGGTGATTGTTTTCATTTTTCATTTTATGTGGAATTTTAGAAATGAAATTTTTTATGGTTTCACTTTGGGAATTGGATCACAGAGTGAAAGGTATGTCACAAACAACTTGTAGCATTTCTCGGTGGATCTTTCGAAGTTTAACCTAATTTTGGATGAAGTTTATGTTTGTAGGTCTCAAGGCCCATTCGATGGTCCCCAAGGCATGATCCGTTATTGATTAGAAAAGCAACCTTTCAAGTTGCAGTTTTGTAAGGGCGTGTCAAACATGATGCGTCTCTCTGCAATTCTTATAGCAAGTAATCGCATTCAAGTTTTCTTATTGCAACTTTAAAACTTTATAGAACTTGAGGGAGCTCCTAATGAAAACCACGACAAACTTAAGAAGATGTACATGTAACACTGTAATTTAAGGATCAACAAGAAAATATTAACAGACCTAAATATTAGCAAACTGGTTAATATTTTGAAGATAGCAAAACAGGACATGGGTCTCTAAGGCCAAACTGAATCCACAGAAACTCTCGACTCTAACTGCAGATCATCATCCAACATTCCCATATTCTCATTGTATTTGCAGCTCCCATTTCTGATCAGCGGTTTTCTGGCGGCAGTAAAAGAATTAGAAGCGGCAAAGGCGGCAGCACCGGCAGAATTAGAACAAGAAAAAGAAGGAGGAGGTGAACTTGTTGTCACCCAGAAGTTACTTGGATCTGTGTTGTTACTGCTGTGACGCCCTAGTACGGACAACAGAAGAACAAGAGAAGCCATTGAGAGTAGAACTAAACTGGTTGTGCTTGAATTGAAGTTGAAACGATGGTGAATATGTAAAGAGATGATTATACAGAGAGAGTTTTGTTTGTGGCTATATATATATATATATAGGGTTTAGGTTGTTTTCTCCGAAAGGAAAAGGAAAGGAAAGGAAAGGAAAAGCAAAACAGTGGGAGAAGGTGAATTAAATTAACTGCAGTCCACTGGTTTAGGTTGTTTTCTCCGAAAGGAAAAGGAAAGGAAAAGCAAAACAGCGGTTGGGGTTGCTGATTTTTCACCTGGTGAGTTGATGGTCAACTTATACAGTTGGCTGCTGCATGAATATATGACGTGCCCTTCCTATATTTTCGATGTCTTTAATTTGTTGGTTTTGTTCAACTAGATTGACGCCCATATATCTAACTTTTGCTGCTAGAGTTGTTGGATTCTGTATTTCTATGTGCGTTTATTTATTGTGACGTACGTTTGTTATTGTGAGAAATTGTCAACCACCTCGGCACTTTTATTTTAATTTATTTTAATTTTCTTTTGGTTTGTCTTAAATTGAATTTTTATTTTTATTTTTAATATAAGCGTTATTACGATACTATTACAAACTTAGAGAGAAAAGATTTGAACTCGAAAAATAGTTTGTTAAAAAATAAGACGCTAATCACCATAACAATCCATCACTTGTCATCTTTTTAGTTCAATTTGTACTTGTCATAAATTACACATATGTTATCCTGGTAGCCCACCGAAGTCCACATTTTCTGGTTCTGTACCTAACTAAGGTGATCCATCGTGCCAAAACTAGGGTTATTAGGTTAGAATTCGAGACAGCCCAACATATTTTACAATTTCTTTCTCCCTATATATTTCTTTTTGAAATTAAAAAATAAATATCATTAGACCGTAGAACTAAATAATGAATACAATACAATTATTTAGACAAGCAAAACCAAACTATATGTTCACCGCTTTCTAACCATCGTTTCAATCGCTATTAATAATATGAAGTTAGGCTACAAAAGTCGTCATTTCTAGAAAATATGAGAAGCCACTTAATATTACGATCTAGTAGTATCCCTCTTTACTTGTAAGTGAGAGGTCTTAGGTTTTATTCTCGCCAATGCGAATTTGAACTACATTATTGATAACTCATTGTGAGGCTAATTTCACCCCTCTCCTTATAGATAAGATCGTTTATTCAAAAAAATCATATGAGGATCCCTTTTCTTGAGGGATATACTAATATAAGTAGTCTTTGGTCCGACTTAACACCAAACATGTCATCGCTATTTTTGCAGTCCCAATTTCCTTAGCCCGTCGCAACGCTAAAATGTACAGCAGCACTTAATCCAACTTTAGATCAGCCCGAAAGAATCTATACCAGACCCAAGAAATAACTCAATTCACTGAAACCATACTTAACAACCCGAATTCATTTTTGAAAAATCATACCAAGTGTGACTGCAACATAATGTACAAAATCATTCACCGTCATCACACAACATATATAGACGGCATAGACTCAAGTATTTGACAACAAAAATAAAAGATAGTATTTTGGAGTCCAAAGTTTCGGGAATTTTTTTTGTTACATAAATTTCTATTTATGTAAGAATTTTACACTCATTATAATTGAAAGATTACGTTTTAAAAATATAGGCTATATCTAGAGAAATGATTCCGAAGTAATTTCCTCTAATAAATTCGACAAGCTCATCTTCTTAAGAAAGATGAGAAGTGAATGACATCCATTACGAATCTCTTTGTCTGGAGCTCGCGGACTGAGATATCTCGACCGTTCAAATTTTTGAATTTTTGTGAAATGAACTAATGGGGTGAGATAATAGCCTAATAGGAACCGTAGGATTGAAGTTATGTTATCTGAGTCTCTCAATCCGAAGAGAAGTACGTGTTTATTGGCCACACCTCCACATCTAGAGTGTTTTTTTATATATACAACATGTATAGTTATACTGGGGGTGTGAGCATCAATTATTACCAAGCTCATAATTTTTGAAATTTAAAGCTAAAATCTCACTTACAAACGAAAAAAATATTTATACACTAATAATACTAAATAACACTTAAATGTCTTGTTTAATTACACTACTACGATGGGCAATACAGACATATATTAAACTAAATCAATTAACACAGAAAATACTGAGCATTCATCCACATTATTATTTCATATCACAAAGGCTTTCCAAGGTTTCACAGAAACATTTTACAACTTGCTAGTAACAAGCAAATAAACACGTTTTTTTGGGTTTTTGGTTGGGCTGTGAAAGAAGCCTTTTCTTCTTGAATGTAAATATTGGCCGTAACGAAAAGGAAACAGGACTTGAGCATGCTCTCTTGACGCCCCAAACATGAAACACCTACACGGCAAATCAAACTTACATATATAATTACATAGAGATTTAACAAATTAAATTAAACTTGACAAGTAAATGAATTAATTAAATCGAACTAATCAAAATTCTTTTGTGAATGATTACCTGATTATTGGGCAGATGCATGCACATGCGAAGTAGCAAGGGCTGATCAATCGCTGTCGCTGCTGCTGCCGCTGCCGCTCCCATGGCCATCCTTCTTCTTATCCTTCTTCTTCTTTTTCTTATCGCCTTTGTCTTTGTGCTCGCCCTTGTCTTTCTTGTGGTGGTCGCCTTCCTTCTCCTTGTGGTGGTCGTCTTTCTTGTCCTTGTGGTGCTCGTCCTTCTTGTCCGTGTGCTGCTCGCCTTTCTTGTCCGTGTGCTCGCCGTCTTTCTTATCTCCTCCAATGTGGAGGGCATCTCCAATCTTGCCAATGATTCCTGCCATTTTCGCACTCTCTCTAACTTCTGTGTGTAGTGTTATGTTTTCTGAGATATGAAACTGAAGATGTACCTATTTATAAGGAAAATGCGAAAATTTAATATCTTTCCTTTTCGTTCTTTCCCTAAATAAGCAAACAACTAATACTCGAGCTTATCCGTGGTTTGATTTGAAACTACAAAAATGCCCATTGGCCATACTAGTACTTTTCATGTCTATCTAGAACACATAATACACGGGCATGTAATGTTATTATTCAACTTAAAATATATCACGTGATTTATTTTATTAATATACCTTAAAAGTCTAATATACCAATCTTAGTGTTCACCTGTATTATAACACGTAAAATAATATAAACACGTAACATGAATTTTTTATACTTGAAAAATATCTCTGTTTCTATGAAACAACTTCTTATTGGTGCTTAAAGTTGATTATATCAAACTTAGTGTTTACTTACGTTATAATACCTAAAATGATATAAAGACATGACTTAAAATTCAAATATATTAAATTATTATTCAATTCTGTTATAGCACGTAAAGTGATACAAACATGTGACATGTATTATAACACGTTATCTACAAAAATTTCTCCATTGCTAGGTAATAGATCCATGCCATATCATTATCCATACTACGTCGACGTGTACGCTCGAAACAATGATGGGTAATTAAAATAAGAAAATATGATTTGCCTTTGGAAATAAGAATAAGAATTTTGTCTAGGACTCCACTCAATCAAAAATTAAGTTAATTTGGTTAAATGGACCCAAAGTTTGCCTTTCAAAGTCTTTTGGTGGGTTTGGCTTGAAAAAACATGAGAGGTACAAATTCATCTCTACCTCTCTTCTGCAAAGAACTCTTTGAGATTGATGCAGGGGTATAATGGTTTTTGGGCAAAAGTTTTCAACAGCAAGTATATTAAAGGTGATATGTGTCAGTTACTCAATGATAAAACTGCTTTAAAATACTCTTGCACTTGGAAATATGTTCTTGAAGGGACTAAACTTTTACATAAGGGGTACTATGTGAATTGGAAATAGTAATATGGTAAATTTTTGGGCTGATAAATGGGCAAAATGTAGTATTTTGCTTCATATGCTGGCTGCCAGCTCTCTGACAATATGCTTAAGGCTATTGTAGCTTATTATTGCTACAACGATGGTTGGGAAGCTCTTACTTCATATTGCTTTAAGTTTAATATTGGTGGTTGTAAGAAAGTGAAATAATAATTCTATTGGAGCAGATGGTGTTTTAAAAGATTTTGATGGTAAATAGATTTTTGAGTTTTGCGCCAATTTAAGCACATGTGAGATCATCACCGTTGAGCTATGAGAATTTTATTTAAGCTTACAATTAGCATGAAGATTAGGACGGATAAATTACTAGTAGAATTAGATTATGCACTCACATAGAAGAATTTTGTGACGGATAGTTTAGTAACTAACAACCTTGATTTAGATTTAGACAATTTTTAGTTTGATAATTCTCCTCTTCAATTGGTTTTGTTATGAAAATTGACTTGAAATGTATCGGTCTAAATTTATTGTTGAATAATTTTATCTGGACCATTAGATTTAGCACCGTTTTTTAAACAAAAAAGAAAAAAAAAAGAAGGAAAAAAGTGGGAAAGATAATTTGTAAAAAGTCTCTTCCATGATTCATCTTTAGACTTTAGATATCCCACATCTGTCGGATGTCGGTAAATCATTTTTTATTTATTTTTATTTTTTAATATGAGTATTTCTACATCAAAGTCGACTCTGTCCTGTATCTGGAATTACGGATCGATCCTTGCTCGCGATGTCGACCGACATAACATCAAAACCTCCCAATCTTCCTCGTTGCGGTCAAGGAAGGGTGTCGACTGCAGAGATTAATAGACATAGGAGAAAAACTTGAGTCGAGATGACAAATAAATTCGTAATTATTTATGTAATTTGATTTTATTTGGTGTGAGAGCTATTTTAGTTGGATAATCATATAAACATCCTTACCAAATGTTTTTATAATTAAAGACTTAGGAGATCCAAGTTCAATTTCTCTTCAATTACCTAAGAATCGTAGACCATAGTGCACACGGATTCGAAAATACGGGCCATTTGAGAGAGAGGGAGAGAGAGAGGGAGATATTAAGGCGTGCATTGTGTAATGAGCCAGTGTGATAGAATAATAAGAGTCGCATGATTTAAATTGAATTGTCTAAATATTTGGATCATTCTGCTTCGGATGCATAAATCCGGAAATGGATTTCATTCCATATGTGAAGGTAAATATAATAAAAATTGTTTATGGAGAAAAGATGATTGAAGAAATTAAGATATATTTGGATCATTCTGCTTCGGATGCATAAATCCGGAGATGAATTTCATTCCATATGTGAAGGTAAATATAATAAAAATTGTTTATGGAGAAAGGAAGATCGAAGAAATTAAGATATGGAGATGTACAAAAAGATAATATCTTCATCCTTTTGGCAACACTTGGATAAGCAAGAATCTTGAAGCATGGAGAAGGAGTAGATTGAGGCAGACACCCCGCTCTACGATGGCCACAGAACACAAGTTCACGTGCTTGCAGCTGCCTGACACTTGGTTCTCTTTAAAGCTTCAACTACGACTCCTCACATAACGCCATATTCAATACGATAATGCATCACTAGCGTTAGTATATAGTATTTGAACGTAATTATGTCTATTTATCGTACATCGTACGATCAATTTTCGTTAAGTACTATTTATATTTAATTTTACATTTTAAATTTAAAATAATTTTTACCTGCACAATTACGGATTTTCCGAATCCTCCTTTTCGCATGTAGTTTGACAAAGTCATGTGAATCTAATCAAACTTCTCTGTTTCAGTGATTGACACGTGTACGGTCAACAACTTGCCGACAGATTTGAGAAGCCCACCCATTTCTAAGAATCGATATGCCACCGACCTTTTTACTTAGATATTTTATTTTCAGAGGCAGATTGTCTGCCCCCAATACCATGTCATTTCCATCGTATCCTATATTGTACGGTTACGATTAAACCACATCAACATTTTATATTAATTTTTTAATAAATATAATAAGACAAAAAATAATAGAAATATAAAATATTAACATGACTTAATCGTGACCGCACAAATAAAAAATGATATGAAGGGCATTGTAAAAGAAGGGTAGACAATCTACCTTCTTTATTTTCAATCTTCTCATCATCCTATAACGTAACATCTTATCTATTTGACGTAACATCTTATCTATTTTGGTCGAACATTATTTCAACATAGCAATTATTTTTTTTTAGGACCAACTGGTGGCTTTACCTTAGTAATGCATTCTTTTGAAGGCCAGAAGACTCACACATTTTCGTTCGACATACTTCTTGAGTGCGTCACCGATTGCACACTCTTGTGAGTATCTCTTTCATTATGTGCAATCAGAACCGAAAGACACTAACATGTGGTGAAACTTATCTTTCTTGCTTTCTTTTTTACCACATGAATTACATTATGGGTCCACGATTTATGCCAAACCGCATCATTGTCCTCTACCCAAACTAAGCCAACATCTTCTACTGACTTGTCTATTCCCACTCACTCCTTATGTGCGACATGAATGTGATGCCCCTTGGTAAAAAAACAAAAAATTAGGATTTAAGCCTCTATGACAAGTGGCCCTTTACCATATGAATGGAAATATGCTGAATCATTGCATGATAGAGTAAGTTCAAATCCCGTCAATGACTAATCTAACATTTAATATAACAAAATATATCGTTTGACCCAAAAAAATTAAATAAAATAAATAAAATAAAAGGCCCTCCATGATGAAGTTTGTTGAGATTTAGATTCAAAATTGAAAATTTTGCTAACTCTCCGCTAATTGTTAGCACATGAATCTCACATGTGATGCTAAAAAGATAATGTTAGCCTCACATGTACACTTCACATGCTAACAATTAACAAAAAGTTTTGTTTTAGCCTCATATGTGTGGCTCACGTCCTAATAATTAACAGAGAGTTGACTGAATTTTTAATTTTGAGCCTAAATCCTAATAAACTCCACCATAAGGGCTTAAATCCTAGTTTTTTTCACCACATAGACTATATTCCGACTACCTTGTTACCACGAGAACTAATAATTCAATTAGGCCACACCTAAATGATGGCCTATCTGTACAACCTAATGGAGTCGGCCTATCCAAGATGAGCTCGGTCCACACATATTCGTTAGACGGAGAACTTATTATACACAAACAAATTGGACAATACCTTGTAAAATTGGGGAAATGTTGGGAGACGGAAGACGAAGGATAAAATAAAAAGAAAACTAATGAAAAGAACTTGAAAATTTTGAGTTTTAATGATAAGAACAAAATAAAAGGTAAAGTGAATAGTATCAAGTTTGACTTTTTAGTGTAAAAATATGGTTTTTCGTTAAAGTGAACAGTACCGTGGGCTTTTCGTTAAAACTCCCTAAAATAAATGTGTTATTATACACAAACAGAATTACAAACCTCCACAGTATGTAAAAATACCACCATATCATTCAATTTCATCTGGTTGCTCCAAGCAAATTTGCACCATCAAGCTTTGCACCTTCCAAATGCTGTTCAAAACATAAAATTAGAGTTACATCCTCAACTCCATGCCAACAGAAAGGGCCTATTCAGTTGACACACCTATCAACTATCCTACCAACAGAAGGGTCATTCTCTGTGCTGCAATTTCTCCACTGGAATGTTACGGTAATGCACGTATACCGGACATCCGAATTTCAATTCAAGGGAGGAAAGTAAATCCTAAACTCATTGTCTAGTTTTAGTGACTTAGGGGCCACCAGTAACCTTTTTGTTTGTTGCTTTTCCTTTTCATTTTTTTTTTCTCCGGTTAGAGAAAGATAGGAAATACATGGACGAATAGAGAGATGAAAAGGGACAGTGGGAGGAGTGAAGGAAAAATCCAGGAGAATGAATGACATAAAAACACCCTTTCTCCCATATACATATCCACTCATCACCCTTATTTATATCT